CCAAGTGCTGGGATTAAAGGCATGCACCACCACCACCAGGCTCCTGGTTTTGTTTTATTTTTTAATGCGTTAGTGTGTGTGTGTGTGTGTGTGTGTGTGTGTGTGTGTGTGTTTGTGTATGTGTGTGTTCAAGCAAGTGTGCTCATACACGGGAGAATGATGTGTGTGCATGGAGGTCAGAGGTCACCTTTGGTGTCATTGTTTTCCTTCTGCCACTGTATGGGTTCTGGGGATTGAACTCAGGCTAGTTTGGCAAGTGCCTTTACTCACTGAGCTGTCCCACTGGTCCTCATTCCTGTTTGTTTGTTTTAAATGCTTTTTTAAAAAGTTTTTATTTTATTTGTATATGTATGAATGTTTTGCTTGCATGTGTGTCTGTGTACTACTATGTGTGTGCTTCATGCCCACAGAGTCCTGGGAAGGGTGTTGGACTTCCTGGAACTTGTGAGCCGTTATGTGATGTTGGAATTGAACCCAGGGCCTTTGGAAGAGGAGCAGGTGTTCTTAATTGCTGGACCTGAAAGGAATTGTGAGCTGTCTTTAGTATACCTACAGCTGAGTCATGAGACAGGCTTTGGTGTCTTTGAGTGTCTGGGCCACCCAGCATCAACCCAAGGGTGACCACTGTCAACACAGGGGACTTTCTGTTCCTTTCCAAAAGGTCTGTTGTCAGATCTTGCTCTCTCTGGCTGACAATGTTTCTTAGCCTGAGCCACAATACCATTGCTTGTCCCCTAGGAACACCCCTGATCCTGGGCTTTAAGAGGCATAGTGACCATTTGTGGTCCCCAAGGTACCTTGTAACTGCAGACATTGCTTCTGAGTCACCAAGGAAACCGGCCCTATTTTTGGGACTCAATAGATGGGTTCCCACTTTTGGAAACCAGGCAGTCCTTGCAGAGGTGTCTGCTTTGTGGTCAGGGTGTGTACAATTGACAAGCAGTGGGAACTATAGTTCTGAAACATTGTGATTAAACATGCTTTGCGTGGTTAGTGTGGAATCTTCAAATGCCACCAAGAACAGAGATGCCCTTGCATGGCTAGGAGGCCACTCATTTGCCCTGGAACTGCCTTGGAGGGATGGGTAGAGTTAGTCCATAGGAGGCTGGGCAGGGTTTGTAGGGTCTTTGCGCACAGGTGGCTTTTACACACCTGGTCACACCATCTCTAATCTTTTCCCCCAGAGAGTTGGAATCACATACTGCAATCTGCCAGGTTGGCAGCTCCCAGTTAGTAATTAGCATCTTCAGTTCCTCCTTGTCTTTCCAAGAGCTCGTTACTGCTTGCTGTTCAATATACATAACACAACACTTGCATGTGCCACTAAGTCTGTCCCCAGGCATGTTTTGTTTGTTTTTAAATTATTATTATTTCTCATTGTGTGTATGCATGATATATGTATGTAAGCATGTGTGCCAGTGTTTATGTGGTGTTCATAGGGAGCTTTGTGGAGTTGATTCTCTCTTTCTACTTTTACACAGTGGGAGGGGGTTGAATTCAGATTGTCACGCTAAGTCAACCACTGTCCTGCCCAGATATTTGTGTTGTTTTGAAATGAAACTTCATATCCTTTAAGCAATAAAACAGTACAGGTTAACAATAACTGCCTGCTCTCCCCACCCCACCTCCCACTTCTAGCAGATCTGTTTTCTGTCACTATGATTTTTCATTCTCTAGTATTGCATGTAGATGGGACCATAAAAACAATATTTATTCTTGTGTCTGACTTATTTCACTTAGCATAATGTGAAGAATAGTTTATCTATATTACACACATAGTGATATTGCTTTCCTTTGGACACACTGAATTGGATCAACATCTTACAGACAGCAAATGCACCTGAGATGGTAGTGGTGTAGTTAGTTTTAGTGCCTCTGTCTGAAGCCCTTGCAGACCAGCAGGCTCTCCTGTGTAGTATATAGCTGCTTCTGATTGCTGCCTTCCATAGTTAATCTGTGGTTTTCCATGCTTCTGTATCCTCGTAGTTGTGTCTCTTGTGGTTTTCCATTCTGCTTTGGCTATTCTTACTTGGTGATGTGTGGTAGGCATACTCTTACTCTGTGCTCTACAGAGGCCCCGCCAAATCTCTGGTGTCTGTGTCTCTTTCAAATGGGATTTTGACTCTGAGGGTAATGGTTGGCCACCTGTGTTGTCCTGAGGTCTGGGGACATGAGTGTGTTGTACTTCCACTGTTTCAGGTCTGGGTGCCTGGGAGGCGGGAGGAGGGCTTTCCAGCAGTGCTAGGTGAGAGTGCATGGTTGCACTACAGGCCTGCACCTGGCTGTATTTTGGTTGCCTCCTGGTTACTGTGGAAGCAGAAGGAGGGGAAACTGTGTGTGTGTGTGTGTGTGTGTGTGTGTGTGTGTGTGTGTGTGTGAATGTATCTCTGTGTTTGTGTATGTATATGTCTGTGTCTGTGCTTATGAGTGTTTACATGTGTCTGTGTATGTATGTGTCTGCATGCAGGTTTATCTGTGTGCAAGTACCTTAGTATCTGAGTATGTAGTATGTCTGTGTGGGAGTGAGTCTGGGTGAAAGTGTGTCTGTGTATGGGAGTGTGCCTGGGACTGTGTCTATGTGTAGGAGTGTACCTATGTGTGAGAATGTGTTTGTATGGGTGTGTCTTTGTGTGGCTGTGAGTTTGTGTAAGTATGTGTGTGTCTGTGTGTGGGAGCAGGAACTATCACCTTGAGATTCTGCTACCGTTTGTGCAGGCAGCCTGGGAGCCTGCACTGATGCCAGCAGTCTACGGCTGGAGGCGCAGTCACTGCCAGCTGATGACAGAACTCCCGTCACATTTTTGTTTGGCAGATTTATTTTTGCTAAGTGCGTTACTATTCTTTATGAGCTCAGAATTGCAGAAATCCAAGGAATCTGCCTCTTGATTAAGCTTCTTGCTGAAGCAAACAAAAGACTGTTGACTCTAAGTTGAGGGGAAATCTCAGTGACCTCTCCCTGCCTGTGACCCCTCCTCCCCATGGAATTCCAGGAAGTGTGTGCCTCGACCCTGGGGCTCAGACCCACCAAGCACTGGGCCTGCCTTTTGCTTCCTGGAGCCCTGCTCACAGTTGCCTCCTCCCGCAGCAGGAGCCTCTGACTTATCTTTGGAGAGTCAGATTTACAGAAAGCACTAGAGTCAGGCTGGGTGACACATGAGTGGATCTAGATCCCACCCACCCTTGTGACCCCTACATCCTTCCTCTGTCCACTAACATGGCTTGGGTTGGTGGCCTCGATGGGAAAAATGCCTTAGCCAGACAACGTCCTTCACTTTTCACACAAGTCACATCTAAAATAAGCGTATCTGTTCCACTGACCTGCTTCCCTTCCCACCGAAGGCCGTCTACCTTACTGCCTCTGGGAGGAGTGCATTGTGTCCCTAGAGCCTGGAATTTCAGAGACTTTTGGGTCATTTAACTCGATGTCTCCTCCCCCAGTGGCCTGCAGAGATGAGGACAGGCCGCAGCTGTGGCTGTCACTCCCAGGCATTGACTCACATTCCTCCAGATAGCCATGGCCATTTTTGGAGGGGCAGAATTTAGACTTTGGGAGTAACTGGGATTTAGCTGAAATTCCAAAGTGGAATGCAGTGACACTGTTCTCATTTTAGAAGTTTTGCCTGACAACTGTGTAGTGCAAAATAGCCCAAGTGGTGCTGGAGAGCTGGCTCGGTGGTTAAGAGCACTTGGTGCTCTTGCAGTGGATCTGAGTTTGGTTCCCAGCACCCACGCATATCCATACACAGACACACATGCACATAAGCAAACATTTTTCAAAAAGCAGTGCAAGCCAGTTCTGGAGCCAAGATCTCCAAAAGATGTTGCCAATGCACGTTACCACTGTGCAGGATCAATGGCTACTTATGGTGGACTGTATTAGCTGCACAGCTGAGGTGCCTTTTGGCTCTCTTAATGCTGTTTTACTGCTGCAGCCTATCCAGGTCTGGGGTATGCTCTCTGTGATGTGTCTTGCTATAACACATATCCATGAGAACAGGCTTTCTCTGCTGTTAGTGTGCCATCCTTGAACCCTCTGCACACCCGCTGGAGGAAAGGGCCTAAGCATGATCATGCAGCCCCTCCTGCTGTGCCCAGCCCCCAACCCCTAGCCCCTGGAGCCATAGTAAGTTAGCCCTTACTTTACAGCTACCAACTACTTATCTCCCAGTACAAAGGACTTTTTGTTTATAAATGGCAGCTTTATTCCTGGTACCTCCATCCCAGAAGACCCGGAGCCCCACTCCCCACATCAGAATGCTTTGGGAATAGGAGTGTGTGAGGACCTAGCTTGTGCAGCTATGAAATCTGGACTTCTCCAGCTCTGGGGATAGGACAGGAAAGGCTTACTATGTTATTGTGCCTCGTGAAGTTTCCTCATTCCCTCATTCTTAGGAATAGGCTGTCAACTGCCCAGAGCCCCATGCCTGTTATTATAATTCTTAACTGGACATCAGCCCTCCTCAGCCCAGCAGGGTGTGCCTGCGGAAAGCTGGCTTGCAGAATGGATGCTGTGCTTGCAAGCATTCTCTAGGAGTTCCTGCCATTTGTGAGGCTGGTCTGGGCCAGGGCTGTGTCAGCATTTGAAGAAGGAGCTATGGGCACAACAGCTCTCTCTGTGGAGATTGGAGCCAGGTCGCCTGGCTACTAGGTGACAAGGGACATAATTTATTGGGTACTCCATGGAGTGATACAAATCATCTAGGAGTTGTTTGGGGACAGTGGGAGATGAACATAGAATTGAATGTCACTCAGTTTACATATTTTATCTGGGGTTTCAGACATAGCTCTGTTGGCATAGTGCTTTCCTAGTATGCATAAGGTTTTGAGTTCAATCCCCTGTACTGCATAAACCAGGCATGGTGGTATATACCTGTAATCTCAGCACCTGGAAAGTAGAAACAGGAAGATCAGGAGTTCAAGGCCACTCCTAGACACATAATGAATTTGAGGCCAAACTGATGTATGAGACTGTCTGAAAAAGTAAAAATTTATTCCATGTTTTAGAGCATTCTGTGGAGATGGAGAGGAGGCCCAAACCCTTTCCTCAAGCCAGCAAGCAGGACCTCCCAGGGTCTGCGTCCAGGGAGTGCTCTGAGGAGGTCTTCTGTGTGTGCTGAGTCAGGAGCTCCATTAGCATTGGCACTAGACACTGGCATTGCCCTGATGCTTTGTTCATTGATTCTGCTACCAGTGCCTTTCACGTGGCTGGGAGGATGGGACACAAGCGTGTGGCTGGTTTGTTCTTTGCACAAATTGCCAGGTTACAGCCTCACAGCAAGCCTGCAGGGCATGTGAGCCCTCCACAGAAGTAAGGAAACAGGTTCAGAAGGCTGCATCTTCATGCCAGATCGTGGTTTGACCTGGTTGGGCTAAGACGTGACCCTGTTTTTACTGAGGACAACAGCCCCATCCCATTTCTCGAAGCTCCTGTCTTGGGGTGAGTCCGCTGAGGTCTCATTAAGATGCCTGTGTGGCAGGAAAGGACCAGCAGTCAGGGCAGCAGCAGTTTCCAGTGCTGGCCTTGTCAAGCACTGAAACGTCTGTCTTTTGGAACTTGAGCTATCCTGTGTGGGGGCCACTCATAGCTCTGTACAGGGTTGTCGAAGTTTGGGCCCCAGACTTATTCTTGAATTTTTATTTCAGGACATAACTTGGCAAGATGAACACTCGGCCCCATTCTCCTGGGAAACAAGGGTAAGTTGAATGAAATTTAGATGTATTTGTCCCTTTTGAAAATATATGTGTACCTGTACATTTTCTTTCAACATCTCATGTGTTCAAAGGGCTATGTGTGGTCCTTAATGCTGGGCTACAGTTGACAGCCCATGTTGATAGGACAAAGTGTGTGTGTGTGTGTGTGTAGGGGGCCGGGGGGCTTGGGGCACTGAATCTGTGTCCCATGAGTTCCCTGGTGAACTCTAGCCATCTTGGGTGAGGGTTGCCCTGCCAGAGCACGTCTCCTTTATACTTTAACCCGTCAGTATTTGACACTTTGGTGGTGGAGGCCCCTTGGGACAGCCTAGAGCTCCTGGTTAGCTGACTTTGGTTGGTTTGTGTGCACGTACACATACATATAGACACACGTGAACACGTGGAAATGGACTCTCATCTCCCAGTCACTCATGTCCTGGTTGTGTCACTGCCAGAGCATCAAGCCAGACTTCAGGGCATGTCCCATCTCCCCTATTGTCTAGGAGAAGGACCTTAGTAAGCAGCAAGACCACAAAGAAGCAATGTCCTATAGCCAAGGGCAGGTGAAAGGCCGCGGTTTTGGATCTCCACAGCTTTCCACATGGTGGCGTTTCTGAAGGGGGCAGTGCTGCGGAGGAGACAGCTGTGTGGAATGGGCTTTTCCGGCACAGATAGTTTAAAAGCCTTGCCTCTTAGTTTTTCACTCTCCCCCACTGTTTATGATCAAAGCCCTTGTCCCAGCTAACCCCGGCGCCCAGGGGACCTGTGGAGAAGGAGGTTCAAGGTTGGAGAACATTGATGGAATCCCAAGGGACCTAGAGAGGCCTCTCCTCTGGACCATGTCTTCAGGTGTACCATGTCCTTGAAGGGAAGGGACAGCCACACCACCTCGTGCCATGGACTGAGTCTAAAAAGGTGACTGACCTAAGGGAAGTGACTAGTCTTGACACTGATTCCTTGACATTTGAGGTTGTCCTCATGTTTGATGGGAAAGGTGATTGGAGAACACAGGCATCCATTCCCAGGAACACATTCACATAGCAAATGTGGATTCCTCCAGCCTTCCATATACACATACCTTACAGATCCTAAATATCCTAAGGAAGCCAACTTCTGCATCACATACGTCTTTAAGACTGAGATTCATCATGTTAGCCTAGGCTAACCTCAAACTAATGTCCCTCTGCCTTTGCTTCTTCAGTGCTGGGATCACAGGAGGGTGTTAGCATGCCCAGGCCCCAGAGGGCTTTGTAAATTTCTGCTGTAGATTAGTGGAGAACCTGGGTGTACATGGAGGGGTAGGGATGCAGGCAGTCAGCTGGGAGCTGCAAGTCCTCTAGATTGTGCTGTGGCTGAAGCAACCAGACCTGGGCTACCTGAATGCCTTCTCTGTCCTCATGTTCTCACTCACCCTAATTCAGCGCTCAAGTTTCTGGAGGCAAAGCAGGGCATATACGGTGTGTGGAGATGTAAACTGCTGCCCCTTCCACTCCTCAGTCAGTGCAGAGTTACTCCTCAGCCACAACCTAGGAGGACTTTCACCTCTGCTTCTACAAAATGGGCTGCAATCCTCTTAGGGACTTAAAGGGGACCAGGGACCTTGATTGAAAGCCGCAGCTTTAGTGAGGGTGGGGCTCTGGTTTCTAGGAGCATGCTCTTGTGGATACTGAGCTCACTTTATCAGTTGTCCCTTATCCAAACACTTTCCCAGGGCCAGTGGCTGAAGCGGCATCATTCATCATGTGATGCTGTGGGCCAAAGCAGAGCTCAGCTGGGCTGTTCTTGGTGGATCCAAAACCACAGTGAGCCAGCCTGGGTTTTCAGCACAGTGTGACAGTGACCGTTGTGGGGGTGTGGGGGCCCGTGAGCCCTTTGGTAGAATAGAAACTGCTAAGCAGTAAACCTGCCTTGTTCCTGGCCTGGCCAGTGTCTTGCTGGCTGGAATGAAAGTTTGGGGCGAGAGGAATAGGTACACTGTTGCAGTATGTTTAATACAAGATTTGGTCCTCTTTCCACTGTTAATTCTGAGGCATTTCTTGCTACTCTAACTCTATCATCCATTGACTTTTGGTTTTTCATATTTGTTTGTTTGTTTGTTATGTGTGTGTACATGCACACCATGGCTTGTATGTGGAGGTTGGGTGACAATTTGGGGAACTTGGTTCTCTCTTCCCACCTTTTAAGTTCTGGGTATTAAACTCAATATCAGGCTTGGCTATAAGTAACTCTACCCTCTGAACTATCTCACCAGCCTCGGACTTTTTTTTTTTTTTTTTTTGGAGACATAGTTTCTTTTTTTTATTTATTTATTTATTTTTAAATATTTTTTTATTTTCCATTTTAAATTTACATAAGAAACAAGGTTGCTTCACAAGTCAGTACGAGGTCCCTCTCCCTTTCCCTCCCCTCCTCCCGTGCCCTCCCCCCGATCCCCCCCCCGTTATCCCCTCATTCCCCCAGGGAGGGTGAGGCCCTCCATGGGGGTGTCCATAGTCTGTCATTTCATATAGGGCAGGGCCTAGACCCTTCCCCAAGAGTTCAGGGTGAGAGTGCACCTCACATTGTTCTATGGGAGTCCAGAGACCGTGTGTATACTTGGGATGGGTACTGATCTGCTGTCCAAGGCTCAATAGATTACCTAGGCCTCCTCACTGACACCCAGATTCAGGGGGTCTTGATCAGTCCCATGCTGGATTCCCAGGCTGATGCCTGGGATTCAAGAGTTAACCTTTGTCTGGTCAGCTGTTTCTGGGGGTTCAACCAGCCCAGTCTTAATCCCTTTGATCATCAGTCCTCCCTCTCTGATACTGGCTTTCTTGAGTTCAGCTCAGTACTTAACCAGCCAGTAAATGAAGTTTCTGTTTCCCAGACTCTCTGGCAATAGGATTGTAGGCTGGCACTCCCCAGATCTATGTCTAAAATCCATATATGAGAGAGTACATGCCATGTTTCTCTTTTTGTGACTGGGTTACCTCACTCAGGATGGTTTCTTCTAGTGTCATCCATTTGCCTGCGAATCTCATGATTCCATTATTTTTTTCTGCTGAATAGTACTCCATTGTGTAGATGTACCACATTTTCTCTATCCATTCTTCGGGTGAGGGACATCTAGGTTGCTTCCAAGTTCTGGCTATTACAAATAAAGCTGCTATGAACATAGTGGAACAGACATCTTTGTTATATGAATGGGCATCTTTTGGATATATGCCTAAGAGTGCAGTTGCTGGGTCTTGTGGTAGGTTTATTTGGAGACATAGTTTCTATATAATCCAGGCTAGCCTTGAATTCACAATGTCGCTTAGGCTGGCCTCCAACTCCTGGTGATCCTGGAAATGCTAGCAACCCCTCCTGCAGCAGCTTCCCTGCTACTGGGCTTACAGATGTGGGTAGGCCACCACTCCTGGCATATTTATTTGTTTTTGTAGTACTGGGAATTGGACCTAGGGCCAGATACTAGTTGAGCTTACCACTGGGCAATGTCCTGAGCCTATAGCTTTTATTAATTATGATAAAATTCACATAATGTCAATTTTCCTAGCTTAGCTTTTGAGGAGGAGTGCTAGGCATTGAACCTGGGGATTCACACATACATACTGAGTACCTCCAGCCCATTTACTACTCTGTGTGTGTGTGTGTGTGTGTGTGTGTGTGTGTGTACTCTCAAGTGTATGTACATACAGGTGTCCCAGTTAACCACTTAAGAAAACAGTTTGTTTTTAAAGATTTATTTATATATATGTTGCTCTATCTGCACATACAACTGCAGGCCAGGAGAGGCATCAGATCCCCTTTTAGATGGCTGTGAGCCACCATGTGGTGGCTGGGAATTGAACTCAGGACCTCTGGAACAGCCACCATCTCTGCAGCCCACAAGAAAACATTTAAAAAATGTATGTGTATATGTATGTATGCCATACGTGTGCAGCTACTCAGAGGGGCCCAAAGATGTTGGACCCCATGGAGCTGAAGTTACAAGTGGTTGAGAGCTGTCAGACATGGGTGCTGGGAACAGAATTTCTGAAAGAGCAGTGCACACTCTTAACTGCTGAGCAATCTCTTCAGCCCCCCATTAGCCACTTTTGAGTGTGCAGCTCTGTGGCATTTACTGCCCTCACATAGCTGTGTGTCCATCACTGTCTGTCTCATTGTCATTTTATTACACCATTGCGTGCATGTAACACAAGATTTTTTGCTATTTGCATATGTTAGGATAATTGGGTCAAACTAATGAACATACCCAAACTTTCCATCATGCAAGACACATTCCTCTACTTGTGACAGTAACTCCCGGCACCCCCTCCACTGCCCTATCCCTTATACACCCCCGCAGGGATATGGTCACCACTGTAATCCCTTCCACTCATCTGTCAGCTTGGCAGGCAGGCTGGGGGAGGGCGGCTGCGGGGAGGATGCCCATGGGACTGTTGCATTCCTCTCTCAGGCTCCTGTGTTTCCAGAGGAAAAACCCAGCACCCAGAAGGCCCCAGACCAGGAGGGAGGAAGGAATGGAGAAGATTCCTTGCATTCCCAGGCTGCCTGGGCTGCAGACAATTTGGAGAGTATATGGGGAGGCTAGACCCTTGGGACATGTCCCCAAGGTCCCTCTCCCCCCAAGCTGTCTGGCTTCTGTTTGTCTGTCTGTCTTTACTAATGTTCAGTTGCCTGTTCCAGGTCCTAAGGAGACCAAGGAGAGTCAGATCATTGATGTCCAGACCTGGGTGGACTGTTCAGAGCAAGGAGCCTTCTAGGCCTTCCTCAGGAGTAAAAAGTACCCGTGAGCACTCACTCACCCATATACTCGCTAACACGTCCTTATCTTCCATCCTCCAGACCAGGTCCTTCCCCACAAACCATGCACACATCTAAGTTCCTGTTCCTGCCATAGGTACACAGCAGGTCACATAAGCATCCAGCTAGAAAGCAGAATACCCAGTGGCTCTGGTTCAGAGTGTCACTGCCAGTGGAGGACAGAGGGGCCTCTTGTTCTAAGCCATGGCCCTGCA